TATTTGAGAAGTGTCTTCTCACCAATGCACTGAGGAAGTTGGGTCCATAATCCACTTATACATGTAATTGATTTGTGTCCAATCATTGTGAATCCTTCTCTGCAATTGAACTCCACTGAATCTCCATGGTGATAGGGAGGGTTAGAAGTCTGAACAGCATAGCCGTAATTAAGTTCTGGTATATCTCCACATGTAGTCTCCACCTCTGTGAAAAGTTCAGAAAAATATGTTTACTTATAAAATATACTTTATGTGTTTCTATAAATATAAAAGGTTGGTCTATTTTAAATATGAATATATTTTATACATTACCAATACAAATAGGCAAGTCTGTCCACTGTCCATCAACACACTGAATTTTATTAAAACCCTTCATCAGAAATCTAGGATTGCACACATATTCCACCAAATCGTTGTGTTCATAGTTTTCTTTCTGTGTTTCTTTAACTTTCCCATTAAGGAGTTGAGGAGGTGGAGAACACTGTTTTGTTTGCTCTACAGGAGAAATAATGTGTAAATAATGATCAAATTACCTATTTCACAACTTAAAAAACAATAAAATGGGGAGTTTTTTCTTTAATTAATTTATATTATTTATAATGTACTTTATTATAGCCTTCTTAAGCAATGAAAAACAAATAGTGCTTAAACAAGAAACATGTTTCCCAGTTCTTTTTTCAAAATTATTATTTTAGAAAGAGAGATAGAAGATAAGGGGGGAGAGTAGAAAGAGAGAGAGTGAGAATCTTAAGCAGGCTCTATATGTTCAGCATGGAACCCGACATGGGGCTCGATCCCATGACCCAGGGATCATGACCTGAGCTGAAATCAGGATTCAGATGCTCAACCAACTGAGCCACCCAGGCACCGCAACCCAGTACTGTTAATTACACTGAACTAGTATATTGGAAGTATATTGAAACCCAGAAAACATGTTTAATAATCTAGATATTCTAAAGATGTATGCAAACCAATTAATAAATATGGTCATGTAAATGTTAACAATATTCATATGCCATGGAAAAATTTTATCAAAACTGTTTGAAAAAAATGTCATCATTTGAGGCTAGCATTTTATCAACATATTTTAACTTTGGTTAAGACATACATGTGATTGAATGGACTGAATTAACTATACATTGCTTGAATATTGTTTAGACACTCGATGAAGGTTGAGGGAAGGCCCATGCCATACCAAGTGTCCAATATTAACAGTGGAATTGTAGTCAAAAGGAAAAGTAACAAACATTAAGGCATAACACATGTATCTATGGCTATTACCACTACATATTTCAAGAAACAAGTGGAGATTGAGTTCTTAAATAAGAAAATCTGAGATATCTACTACGCAACACATGTCCTGGCTTAATGAATTAGATTACAGACACACACACTTGAAGCCAACAGAAAATTAAGCGTGAGAGAAACAAAAACATAAAAATGTTGGTTTCAAAAATCCTATTTCTTGTTGTAGCAATTAGAAGATAAATATTCACCTTTACATGTTGGAAGATTAGGGGACCATCCAAAGTCGTAACACTGAACTGAATCTGGTCCAACTCTTTTAAGTCTTTGTCTGCAGAAGAATTTCAACACATCTCCGACTTTATATTTTTCTTTTTTGGGCTCAGTATTTAAGTTTTTTTCTATTTCAGGAATCTTGCATTCTTTTTCTATAAAAAGAGTTAAAATAATTTAGTGAGAATATATAATTAATCATTGCCAAAGTATATTTTATATGTGTCGTATAAAAATGAGGTGCTGAGTACTGCTTATACAGAGGAGCAACAGAAAAATTTACGTTAGGTTTTGTATACCTTCTAAATTCATAAGGGACCCTGAGAATTATTAAGGCATTGAAGAGCAACATAGGTACCCTGAAAATGTATTTGTAAGGTCAACTTGCTTATACTGGTTCTGATTTTATAACTGACATTTATAATGTTACATTGTTTTTTACTCTCAAAACATAAAAGTATTCCCTCACATTAAAAAAAAAAAAAAACCTTGATGCTACAATTTTAAAGTTACAGTCAAATAACAATTGGCAGTTTTGTTTAATGTAAATACAACTGGGGAATCAGAACACACACAAGGCATTTCCAACGTGTCTTAAAGAAACCAATAGTCGCGGAGGCGCTTCCCGTGTGACGTGTGGACTCCGCCCCCGGCCTCGCTGCCGCCTCTCTCGCTCCCTCTGCGCACGGAGCGCAGCCCGGCGTCCGGAGCGGAGGCCGGGGGCGGGGCGACGCGGCGACGCGGCCCCGTGCGTCGGGCACCGGTCTGGTTGGAGGCGGCTGTGTCGGGCCTGGGTGTCCGCCTGTCGCGCTCGCGCCGCCTGCTCCTATGGGGTCTTTGCAAGAGGCTGACCCGCAGGCTGCTCATCTTCTTCGACCTGGCCTGGCGGCTGCGCGTCAACTTCCCCTACGTCCACATCGTGGCTTCCATGATGCTCAACGTCCGTCTGCAGGTTCATACTGAGATCCATTCTAATGACTGGCAAAGGCGTGTCGTCAGGCTACCACACCACAGAACACGCAGCATGAGGGACAGAGTAGGGGCTCTGGGCGGCTACCTCGGGAAGGTGAAGAGGGCAGGGGAGGACTCGGACAAGCTGCTATGTGGCCTTGAAGGAGCACAGGGGGAGCGCCCGTGCCCGAACTCCTGGATGCATACGCCCTGCGGTTCAAGTAGATGGAAATTCACAAAATGAGTTATCAACGGAAGTGAAGAATGCTGAGGTCAACCTCTCGCTTCACAATGGCAACAAAGCGCTTCCATGTTTGAAAGAATCATTAAGAAGTTCAGCTTCCGCAGGGGCCTAAAGCAAGACTGTGGATCTGTCCTGTGCTCCTACAGGAGAGCATCGTGCTGGGGTCTCCTGTGGTGGTGGTGGTGGCTCTGGTGAGGGGCTGGCCGGGAGGAGGGCCCAGGGCCAGCGACAGCACAGAGGATGGTGCCACAAAGGAGAACCTTGGGGGTCAGGACTACCGTGCCTTCAGAAACGGCCAGAAATGGGGATTTCTGAGGAGGAAGAGCCAAATGCTCTTCTAGAAGGGCGAGGCTCTGAGTGGGAAAGGTCTGGCCTGCATCTCCTCCTGTCTACACTGCTCCATGCATGCCCCGAAGCATTCCTGAATGATGAGACAGAATGTGTTTTCCTTGGCCATTCAAGCCCGCATTTTCAGAGCAAACAGAATCCAAGAAAACGCCTTCACAGGTACAAAGTACCTCAACTGATCTGCAGATAACACTGGGGTTACTGGCTCTACCAGCTTTGGAAGGAGCAAATCCTGTATGCCATAGTTAAGGTACAAGCAGAACAACAAAAAGAGTGAGATTGATTTTGAAAGCTGTCTTAGAGGGGCGCCTGGGTAGCTCAGTCAGTTAGGCGGCCAACTTCGGCCCAGGTCATGATCTCGGGTTGGAGACCCTCGTTGTGCTCTGTGCTGGCAGCTCGGAGCCTGGAGCCCGCTTCAGATACTGTGTCTCCCTCTCTCTCTCTCTCCCCCTCCTCTGCTTGCTCTCTGTTTCTTTCTCAAATAATAAACATTAAAAAAAAATAATAATAAATAAAAATTTTAAAAAGCTGTCTTAGAATGAGTTCTTTCACACTGAGACTGGATGCCTGTTAACAGGGCAGCAGTGAAGTTCCTGCCTCAGTTGGTGTGATCAAAGGAAGTGGAAGTGAAACTCCTGGGAGGCTGGTTGATGACGGAGGGGATTTTTGAGCATGCTTTAAATGGTGCTCAGAAGACATTCAGTATTGGGCTACCACTTCAAAGAGAGCATTAATATATCCTGTACCAATATCAGGTTAGAACGTGAAGATTTAACAAAATTCTTTATGGATCTTCAGCACTCTTGCCAAGGGCTACTGTCCCAGATACCATCTCCTCAGGCCATCTGCTGGAAGTGGCCACTTGTACAAGTCAGCCTCTCCATAGTTGACAGTTAGCTGTCCCCATTTCTGCATTCTGTAGAATAATTTTGGTCTGCAGAACAATTTGATTTCTTTCCTCACATCCCCTCTCCTTCCACTTGAAACCCAATTTAAATGGAGGCCCCACAGTGAAAGCTGAAATATTAAATGTACTTTTAGTATAATCCTTTCTCACACTGGGAGCCCTACCAGTGTCGCCTGAAATAAAAGCAAGCTTGAGACTTCTCTGCTGCAGCTCAGCTGGGGAGAGATGGATTTAGCGTTTCCCTTACGGGAAGGTTCCAATTCCTAGGAGTGGAGGTATCTCGTATACTAACATTTTTTTTCTGAGGTAATGCCTCTGGTTGTTGATAACTTTGATAAAGATCACTTGAGAGCATGGAGTTTTTAAGGAGTCCCAAGGAGAGACTTCACCATTTTCGGGGCTTATTGACTGCCTGTATCCATTTGTGTGCTACAATTACTATGCCATGTGCTGTTTCAGTGTTTTGGGAAAGTGAAAAATTAAAACCTTTTACTTAGCATAATAAATGTCTTATTTTAAGTGCATAAAAAAAGAAACTATTAAAATAGCTTAATTAAACACTGTATTATAAATTATATTAGTAAGGAAATTAAACTAAAAATAAAACAAAATAAAGAACTATGTTCAAGGCCACATAGGCATATTCTGGGAGTTCTGAACATTTACATAATATACAATTATTATTATTAAACCTATAATTTTTACTATCTATTAAATTGTTGATTATTCTGATTCAAATTAGGAATGTCTAAAATCATCCCTTCAAATTTGTCAAGTCTGTGGCATTTGTGGCATTCGTGACATTCCCGAGTATTATTTAAAAATGCATTTTTCTTATTTGGAATCCTCCTATCTTGCTAATTCATTTATAAATTAACTGGAATTTGACGTTTTATTTATTTTTGAGACAGAGAGAGACAGAGCATGAACGGGGGAGGGGCAGAGAGAGAGGGAGACACAGAATTGGAAACAGGCTCCAGGCTCTGAGCCATCAGCCCAGAGCCCGACGCGGGGCTCGAACTCACGGACGGCGAGATCGTGACCTGAGCTGAAGTCGGACGCTTAACCGACTGAGCTACCCAGGCGCCCCTGGAATTTGAATATTATAATTATATTTAAAAAAAACCAATCCTTTGAAATATTAGAACCTTTGTAAATATTAAAACATTTTATAGATGAGGAAGAGTGAATGAAGCTGCAAGTAAGTGTGGTTGTTGCCCTAAGATACATGTTTAGCCAGCTGATGGGATTGGAATTTGCTAGAACCCCGCCAGGCTGACTCCACTGGACTCACTTAGACTTCCTCATCCTTCAATCATTTTCTTCTCTCCACATCTAGGAGAACATTCACTCCAAAATGTTCTCTTCTCCCAATTCTCTGGGTCCTCCTTTTCCTATCTACTCTGCCATCTATTATCTTCCACGTGACACCTAAACGTTGGAATGCTTCATGACTCAGTCTTGAGCTCTCTTCTCTTTTTATTCTGTATTCTTTTCCAATTTGATATCCTCATTTATGCGGTAACAATTCCAAATATGTATTTCTTGGCTAGACCCACATAGTCAACTCTGTAGTTTACATATCCAAATTTGATTGTCCATGGGCAGCTCAACCATAATGTGCTCAAGTCAAAAGTTGGGATGTTCCTCCCAAAGCGCTCTTTCTTCTGTCAGCACCACCTTACAAAAAGGCACTGCCATTTACATGTTTGCTTATGAAAAAAAGGCAGTGAGTCCCTTCATTATTACTCTCTCTTACATCTAATATTTAGTAACATCACCTGTGTTTTCTACCAACAACATAGATTTTGAATGTGTTCTGCTTTGCATCTCATCACCCATCATCCTATCCCAATCCCCATACTTGTTCATGCTGCATAAACTCCCGAATCTTCTCCTGCCCACCACAATCACAGCATGTGGGAAAAAAAAAAAAAAGAAAAAAAAAACTTTTCAAAAATCTAAATGATTATATTTCTTCCTTTAAGACTCCTTTGTAGCTTTTTATCAGTCATAAAACTAATCTAAATGCTGATATGCCTGGGAAATAACCTGGGTAATCTTTTCTTTGCCTCCTATCCAGGCTTAGTTCATAAAATTCTCCCACATCTTAAGTAGAATCTGCTCACCCTGATATTTCTCAAATATTGTTTTGTTATCAAAGTTTTGCACAGACTGTTCCCTTGGTGTGGAACATTCTATAGCCACTCAAATTTTCCACAGATTCAAGTCCTACTCCTAATCCTGGAAAATAGTGGATTAGCAAACATGAAAGAGATTCATAGAATAGTCCACAGAACTTGTCCAAGTCAGAAAATAAAGAGCTTCTCTCAGGGCCTACAGAAATTAACACTCAAGGCAGAAGATGTGAAAGCAGAAACTCAGGAGCAAAATAGCTGAGGAAATTGTCAGAAACTATAATTTGGTTTTCTTAGATCACACACTAAAAGAACCCAGTTTTAAATAATATGAAAACTTGCATTTAGAATAACAAACACAATTATTCTTTGTTTACAAACATACCATGTATATGGTCCATAGGAAACACTGTGTTATTGTCTTTGGGCTTTCAAACACCCTCTTCTCCCAGTTTACATTAAATCAGAAGAAGACACCTTGATTTTAATCATACTCCTTAAAAATGACTTCAAATAATGCAAGTTTGTTCAAAATGGAAATCTATTTTTTTTTTAACATTTTTATTTGTTTTTGAGAGAGAGAGAGACAGAGTGTGAGTGGGAGGGGTGGAGAGAGAGAGTGAGACACAGAATCTGAAGCAGGCTTCAGGCTCTGAACTGTCAGCATAGAGCCCCACATGGGGCTTAAACCCGAGAACTGTGAGATCATGACCTGAGCCAAAGTCTGAGGTTCAACCCACTGAGAGACCCAGATGCCCCCAAAATGACTTTAAATAATGCAAATTTGTTCAAACTGGGATATCTTAAACACGTCTTGTTAATTTTGTTAGTCATGAAAAAAAAATACCTGGAAAAATGGTACTCACCATAACATACTGGTTTATGAGACCAACCATCGTTACCACACACTATTGAACCTGCGTGCCCATCTTGGCTTTCGTATCCATCGTGGCATTCATAGTCCAACTTGTCATTGAGTTTAAACCACGTGACATTGCTTTTGGCTTTGGCATTCTCAAATGCTGGCATGTCACAAGATTCTAATGCATAACAGAATTGAAGATTTCAATTCTAATATTATTTAATGGACGATGTAATTAAGTC